GGCATGGCCGGGCCCCGCCCTCACCGCCGCTGCTGCAGCCTCTCCTCCTCCGGCACCTTGAAGACGAACCGCCTCTTGCTCCGGGTCCGCAGCATCTGCTTCCGGCTGTTGTCTGAGGTGTCGGGCACATTGAGCACGGTTCCTGCAGGAGGGAGGGTGACCGCGGTCACGGCAGCCCCCAGGCCGCAGCAGGTCAGAGGGCAGGACAGAGGGACGGCGGTCAGCAGACGGAGGCTCACTCACCCGAGAACTTGCTCTTGAAGTAGATCAGGCGGGGAGGCTCACAGCTGAGCAGGTTGAGGGTGCCCTCCGTGTTCAGCGGTCTGATCTGTTGGGAACGAGAGGGTCGGCAGCCACACCACAGCAGGGGCAGCCGCCCACGCCCTCCCCTCCGCCCCGGGCCTCACCCTCCGCAGGCCGATGGTCTGCACCCACTCCATGGTGCACACGTCGAAGACGTCCACCCCGTACTCGCTGTACACGGTGACGTGCGAGGGGCTACAACCTGGGCAGACAGAGCAGAGCACGGTGAGGGGCGGCGCGGCCCGGGCCTGGCGCCTTCCACCTGAGGGCAGCGGCCAGGCCCATCCCCGGCCTCCAGGTGCCGAGGGCTCAGGTGCAGGGCCGGCCACAGACCCTGGCCACGCCCACTCTAGGGCCTTCCCAGATTCAGACCAGCACGACCAGAGGTTCGTGCATCACCGCTGCTCCCGACTGAGGAGCAGGCAGAAGCCGCAGCACAAACAGTTTCTGAGTCAGCTTTCTTACACGGCTCCTGCAGAGCTGACACTCGAGGCTCCACACCCCGGAACTCAGGGAGGGCCGAGTGGCCTGCCCTGTGAAGCAAACTCCTGTAGGAGATGCCGAGGAGCCGGGGTTCTGGGTGAATATCCAGACGTACAAGAACCACTGCTTAGCTCTGGGGGACGAGCCTGCCGGCCACACCCAGAGAGCACCGGGTCTGTGCAGAGCGAGTCCTCGGGAGGCGGGCATCCCTCCTGGCGTCTGCTCTGACACCGAACTACTTTCCGGCAACGGCTCTTGCCTTGCTCAGAGTGACGCCAACCGTCAGGTGGCAGCTGAAAAGACCCCCATTGTTCCAAAGACACAAGCCGAGGCCTGCGGGCCCATCTGAAGTGTCAGGGTTTCCAGATAGCGGGGCGCCTGTCTGCTCCTCGCGCCCACTTGTGCGCTGAACGCTGCCCCGGCACCGTGAGCGGCCGCACCGC